ATTTGAAAAGGAAATTTGATACAAATTTGTCATTTACTCAGGAGGGATAAAGTAAGTAGCAAAAGAATAAGTGGAGAGGAAAGACTGAGGAATGGAAGTATTATTTTTTAACTATAAATAAGAAAAAAAAGCAAAACTACTACCCTTGCCTCTGGGGACATGGGGGGGGGAATTCAGAGGGTAGCCCAAAGCAAACATGATCTGGGTTGAGGAGAAGGGGAAGGGAAATTAGAAACCTCATGAATACAGGAAGTGAATGTGAAACTGCAGTGAACCTGCAGTGAGACGGTATCACGTTTTGGAGCCACAGTAAAAACATATGTTTTCAAGAATTGTTGGGAACACTTTTGACCTTTCCTGACTGATGAACCTTGAAGTAGAAATATAATAGCTATTGCAATTCTACCTTTGAATGCTTTATTGCTTATGGGAGTGCTTACCCTTCTAGCATCCCCTTCTCTTAGGTTTTGAGACAAATCAGATTATAATAAGCAAGACAGACTGTGTTTAACTCCCTTCTGAAACATCCTGTTAACTGCCCGCATTTTTCTTGCTAATAGAACCCTAACTTTATTTTTCTGCAGATAGAGTGTAGTCTATCAAAGTGTCCTGATCTCAGGGACAGGCCTTATCCCAGCCTCATGGAATTAATCATGACTGTCCTAAAGCAGCCACAGCAATTCTCCTTCCTTTAGCAAGTGATTGGTCTGGGGTGAGCATGTGGAATAGTTTCTGTTGCTGCTGTCACAAATCAGCACATTTATTATTTCACAGTTCTGTTTGTTATTAGTTTGGGTTGACTCGTTTGGTTTCTCATCTTTAAGTTTCATAAGGACAGAATTAAATCATCTGCTGGCCAGGCTCTTATCAAGATGTTCTGGAAAGCTTATTCACATTGTTGGCAGAATCCAGGTCTTTGTTGGATTCTTTGTTTGGTTGTAGGACTGAGGTTCCCATTTCCTTGCTGGCCATCAGCTGGGGGCTGCCCCTAGCTCATAGAAGCCTTTCTCCCGTCCTTGCACATGGTCTTTACCTCATGGTCCTTCACACTTGGGACCTGACTTCTGCTTGATCTCTCTTGCTCAAGCCAGAGAAAATATTCGGCTCTTGAGAAATCGTGGGGTTGTACTGTGCCTCTAGAAAATTTATTTTAAGGCCTGTAGATTTAATCATATCTGCATAGTCACAGGTTCCAAGGATTAGAGTGTGGCTATCTTTGGGGGCCCATTATTCTACCTGTGATGTAACCCATGTGTGATCAAAGTAACAGGGGGGGGCCCACTGGCAGCTTTATTTCTTGGATGAATGTTGGGTACTACTCTGCCTGGTTTCAGGAATTGTAGCTACCCCCCCATGGCTAAGGATGAGTAAGTGACCTCTGGATTGCAAGCCACAAGGAGACAAGGCTTGTCTCTGGTAGCAAATGCTGCCTCAGTTTACTCCCCATGCCCCCAAACCATGGTCGATGTTGATGATGGGTAAGACTCCTCACAGTGGGGGGCAACCTAAGCCAGACATGATCACTTGGGAGGCCTTCATGGAAGAACTTGGGGGGCTGAGACAAAGAGGGAGCAATAGACTCTTGCCCCCGGCTATGTGACATAGCCCGAGTCCCCATGTTCTCTGGGAGAAACACTTCCTGGTTCTAATCCACTCAAGCCTAAAAATTTATGATGGGCAAGGTGGTGCAGCTCCTTGCCTTGCTAGAGCGGTATCCAGAATAAATCTGGCATAAGAAAGAATTCCTAAAAATCCTGTGAAACCTGCTTTTCGAAGAGTGTTTTCATTCATATGCTAAGGGTCTGATCAGGAAATGAGTATGTCTCCCAAAGTTTCTGCAACCCCTTTCCTGACAGACTCTGACTCAGACTAAGCCCTCAGATTTCTTTGAAATGTTATCTACTGTTTGATCCTTGCCGCCTGTATTCCTGTGTATTATAACCCAATAAAAGCCCCTGGAGGAAGGGGCCCCTGGCCTTTTTCCCCTGAGAAACTGGCCACCTCTCCTCCCCAAGCAGATCATGCTTGGTAGTGTTTACTTTCATCCGTGGTGGACTGGGGGACTTGCGGGCAAAGTCACTCCCACAGATGAAAAGACAGAGACTCTCCTGCCTTTTTCCAGCTAGAAGTGCTAGTATGTGGACAAGTTGTCTGGAGTGGCAATAGTCACCTCACACCAGGAAACATCAAGAATGAGGATAAAAAGTTAACATACCAAGGATGGTGGAGCAAGAGACTAGAAAGCACCTGGGTTCTTGATGACATTTTTGAATAGCAGAATCAAGGCCAGTGATTACTCTTTCCTGATAGCTTGTCATATGAGGAAAAACAGCTATTTATTTAAGCAATCGGACCAGTTTCCTCTCATTGGCAACTAAAAGCAATTCTAACTGATATGCTTCTCCTAGCCTTAATCTCCAGAACTCAACTGTAGGACAGACCTCAACTTTTCCAAGCTTTAAAATGCAGTGTCAGCTAATCTAATTAAATTTATTTATACTGTAATTCACAATAAATGTCTTCAGTGGTGATGCCAATCTTAGCTTCACCCTGAGACTGTGTTTAGGATTATAGAGTCATCCAAAAAGAAGGTCCAGGGGTCATCAAACTATAGGCCATGAGCCAAATCCCACTGGTGTAAGCCAGAGGAGCTAAGCATGCTTTTTACATTTTCAAAGGGTTGTTTATACAAAACAAAACAAAACAAAGCCATAGTATGTGATCAGAGACAAAGCCGAAAATATTATCTGGTTCTTCAGAGAAAAATCTTGCCAACCCCTGCATTAGATACCTATAGGACTGAAGCTGAGACTAGGATTTTACTAAGAGTCATTAGGTCAGCATGCAACACCTTTGAAGAATTATTCATCACCATGGAAAGCTTTTGGCACAGGTGAAGATAAAGTTTATCTTCAAATTAATTTCCTTTTCAGTTCCACATTTATTGAATTCCTATTATTACAAGACTATGGAAGACATCGGAATCATATAATAAATAAAACAGGGTCTTAATGTAACTAAAAACTGGCTCAAGGAAACACCTGCTCTGAGAGACAAGATAAAGGCCTGCAAAAAAAGGGTTGCATGCACAATTTTACATGTACCCACCTTTTCCTAAGGACATACAGTAGGCTGTTGGAAATTTGGGCCTGTAATTTAGGAGCAGAAGATTGGAAAAGGAATGAACAACCATTTACAGCTACTTTAGGTGTGGTAGTTAATTATTACTTTAATCCCAAAATGTAAATGCTACTTTGTAGTTTCCACTTCAGGTTATACTCTAATGTCCATATTGTTTTCACTAAACTAAACTAAACTAAACTCCTAAATGGAAGCCTGGGCTGAAGAAAGAAAAGTCAAGCCTGAAAATAAGTATTAGGGTACGACCTGCAAATCTCATCAAAACTCAGGGAGACACCCAGGGGAAGACTGTGGACTAAGAAAAAAGGTTCAGACACAAAACTGGAAGCACTGCCTGCATTTAATTGGGGAAATAGGGAGGGAAGCTAGTGAAAAACTCTGAAAACAATTGATTAGAATGTGTAAAGAGAGCCAAGTGAGAGCAATTTCAAGGAGGCTACGTGTTTCAAAAGTTTTAAAAGCTTCAGTACCTTCAAGTAGGATGGATACAGAAATGAAATAATTGAATTTGGCCAATAGGAGATAGGGGAATATTTTACATTGCTGTTCAATTTGGTAGCCAGTAGTCACATGCAGGTATTTATAATTAAAAAAAAATTTAAGCTTCAGTTCCTTAGATGTACTAGCCATACTTGAAATGCTCAAAAGACACATGTGCCTGTGGCTATCATATTGGAAAACTCACATTATAGAACATTTCCATCATAAGAGGAAGTCCTATAAAAACATGTTTTTGAAAGCAACTGGTAGTGTTGAAGCAAGACCTTGATGGAGGGTTTTCCCTATGCCCTCTTCAGTAGTTTGCAAAGTTGTATGGATCTGACCTCTTCTGCCTACATGTTAGTTTTACTTTTGCTTTTCAGTTCTAACCTCACTGCTCTTCCTGGACTATCGCAATGGCTGCCTATCTGCCTCCCAACTTTTTCACTTGCAGTCTGTTCTTCATACAAACCATTTCTTCAAACAGCAGTCTTTTGTCAGTGCCACTAATGACACTGACCGATCAGCCAGACTTAACATATTTGATAGTCTATTGTGTGGGTGTGGATAACGGTATTGCATTGAGACTTCAGGAAGTACAGTAATTTCCTCTCCAACGATTCCTTCCCTGCACTTGATAGGTCAAAATCCAACATGGGCACAATGATTAAAGCATATTTACAACATACAAATAACATTAGAGCAGGAACAATGGCTAATCATCACTCTCTGCTGTCTCTTTATTTCAAATTTTTCCTGTCTGCCACTGCTGTGTACCAGTTAATAATTCCACTTTCCACTTTACCATTGCAACAGCCTGTTAAATAGTCGTCTTAATTCCAGTCTCTCCTTTTGCATTCCACGAGAAGCTCTGGTTATATTGCTCCATTCCTTCCAGGGACCCCCTTACGCCTGCAGAATAGAATTATATAATCTTCTATAATCTGGCGCAACCCACCTTTCCTGTCCTACCACCCTCTACATTCTTTCTACCACTCTGGGGTACTCACCATTCCCCTGTCACCTTCACGTATATTCACCTCCCTCTCTCTCACCCATGCAATGTCATCTTTCAGACTCCGGGGCCCACGCCCATTCCTCGACTATTCAGAAGAGGAGCACAAAGAGCCCAAGAGAGGGGTGCGTTACTGAGGGACCGAGGAACACAAATCTGCTTAGCCGTGTCTCTCTGGGGAGCTACCCTAAATAAGCTGCATTCCCAACCCTTTATATTTCCCCAAATAAGCGAACTTTCACCGTAACAGAGAAAGATCTACTGTCCAAACGGCTTAACAGAGAACTTAACAGAGAACGACAGCTTCGGGAGCCCTGGGAAAGGCGAAGGGGATTGTGGGAGCTCTCTTCGTCACCCTGCAGATTCATGGGAAATGTAGTGCAGTCTTCTCCAACGTGGCTGCGCCCTGGTGAGGTGATTTACGAGTACCCTCGGCAGCTTCCTGTGGTTGATGGGTGAGTCTGGCGAAGGAGAGAGCACCCACGTCGCGAGAACCCTCCCCTAAGCAGAGGAGAAGGTTTGTGGCACTTCTTACTCGCGGGCATGACCGGAAATAGTCGCTCTTTAACGTCCCCAGCGTTACTCTGGTGTGTTCCCTGGGTAGTAGGTTGTCTTTCTGTTGGGTGGTTGTGTCAATGTTTGAAGTGCATGTGTTTGTGTTTAGTGCAGATGCCCATGTGACGTTTGTGTCAATCAGTTTTTCCTTTGGGAACTGGCGGTTGCAACCTGGGGGGTATTATTTCGGCGCTTCTTGGGGTTTTATGGCCCGTACCAATCCAGTGAAGGAAAGGCGTTTCTAGAGGTCTGGTAACTCACACAGTTGAATCTTCCTGTGTTATTATTAGAGTAATCCCAGAGACCCGTGGGCTAGTGTCAGCTTTTGGTTTTGAGTTCAGTTAACAAATACTTAGCGCCTGCTGTATGCCAGGCTGTCAAGGCTGCCCCCTTAAGTTGATGACAGCCTTCTGGGTGAGCGCAACACACAAACAAGCAGTTGTATCACAAAGTGACAACAACAGAGATAGAGATGCTCACCAAGTATTAATGAAAGCATTTAAGGCAGCCACCGATTTCAGAATTATGAAGAAGAGGTTTAGGAGGTAAGATGGCAAGGTTAGTAAGTTTAAGTTTAGGCTTTCACAATAAACATTTATGAAGTGCTAGATTCTGTTCTAGATGCTGAGTGCTACAGTGTGAACAATCCAGACAAATGTCCCCTTTCGTTGAGCTTACTTCCTAGTAAATTAGAGGAGGAAGATGGAGAATAAACAAATTAGTGAGGGCATAAAAATAGAGAGTAGGTGTTCAAAGAATTAAAAGGGGGTGATATAAAAAATGATGGGGTCAATTTTTTCTAATTATTTTAAATTAAAAAATTTTAAATAGGCAGTACAATTTGATTAGCTATAAAATTCAAAAGTTACAAAAGAGAAAAGCTCCCTTTCATTCCCACACCAATCCGCCCATTTCCTTTTCCTGAAGGTAACCCATATCACAAATTTCTTGTATGTCCTGGAGATTTGTATGTATACCTTGTATATCTGTCCTGTACTTCATAATCAGGCCTCATTTCATAGGAATTTAAGTTCTTTCTAATCTTTGCTGTTAGTTAAGTATAATTTATATACAAGCATAGGAATGTTTGTCTATAGTGCTTGGTTCATTGTAGGCATTCTGTTATTCAAGGAGGGTGTGGACACACTACTGTTACCACTTAGGGCAATATCCAATTGAGTATATTGGGGTTAAACTTACTAGCAGAGCATGTGTGACCTCTAAACTCTTGTTATCCTATAGAGAGTGTGCTTAGGCTGGACATGATGAGATGACTCAAATAGGTAGTATTCCAGTGAATAGTGACCTCCCTCCTATAACATCCCATAACACTCCCGCAACATGGCAAGGAGCATCCAAGCCTTTGTGCAATAGTGGAAATTCCTTGGGCAGGGATGTGGCCTTGTCAGAAAGGGGCCATCTCCAGAGCTCAACAACTGGTATCCACTTATTATTCCTTGTTGAGGTGACTCAGACTTGCTGGGCTGGTGCATTGTCAAGTCACCGGAATGGGGAACGAATGAGCCTCCAGAGCTGTTGAGATTTGTTTCTTCACATGTAACGATACTGTATGACTGAGTGGAGGAGAAAGGAAAGGGAATGACAGAAATGTGATCAGGAGGCTCCACCTGCTGGCGCTGAACTCTTAATGTCAGGCTTTTTAAAAGATGTTTACAACATTTTTCTTTCTCATTTCTTTCACTTTGCAGTCTTTGCTCATGTTACGTACTAAGAAAAAAATTAGTGCATTCATCCCTTGTTTTCCATTGCATACAACAAAGATGCCCTTCCAAAGATGATGACCTGCGAATGGAATGGCAATAAGATAGTTCCTTTGAGGGTCCTCAGCTTTTCTTCTTAAACCATTCTGATCTGGCTCTTCTGGAAACTAATTTAGTAACAGATGTATTTAATCCTTTTAACAGTTATGTGATAGTGTCAAGGATTAACACAGCTAGACATGAATTAAAGCAGTAAAAACTTTTTATTCAGTAACTACTAACAGTAAGGAAAGAGCTGCACAAATTCACTTTTTTTCAGGCTTTGGTAAGTTTTATTGGAGCAAAATTTCAACAAATAAAAGGCACTTTTATTTACAGAATTTAATGTGTGTGGGCACTGTCCAGCCCACTTGAACACAAGTGAAGACAACCATTAAGCCTGTTTATATATTTTCTTATTTTCAATTTGCATACAAAAAATGTGTTTGCTTCACATACATAAAAATCCCAATATTGTAAATGACAACTCCCCCTTACCAATCCCTTGATTAAATATAAAAACAGCTTCAAAAACATATAATTTAGATTGTTTAATATTGAAATGTAATCCAGTAAGACTGAAAACTAAACATTTCAGGTCCTGTACCAAATAGTAAAATACTTGAAGTCCTTCGGGATTCTTTGAGTGATTTACATCAATGAGAGAACCTATTTTTGATGTAGTAAAAGAAATGTGTTCATCTCCAGTTATAATTTCAAGCTCCTGTTGGCCAACCCTGTCAGGGGGAGGCCACAAAGCATCATCTTCCTTTGTAATTTCACTGTCATCAATAATTCTCATCATTTCTTCCATTATACTCTTGTGTATGCAGACCTCTTTTCCGATCATGACATCATTTTTATAATGGCTGTTGTTGGCTTATCTAAGTTTTACATCTGCCTGGAACTCGAACTCCAGAAACTCGTGTCCAAACCTGCCCTTGTGCCCAATGTAGAAGCACCAGTAGAAATCACTGGCCAAAGCAATTTTTGTCTGCAGAAAGCCCTCTGAAGGCTCAACCCTCATTTTATTTTATAGGGAGAATGGGGAGGGCTTAGAATGAGGTACATAATAGTGTCAGAGAGAATTGAAAATATGAGGAGGGATCCCTAAAAAAGCTCCTGTAATTATCTTCTGGAGGTTGGGCCCCTTGTAGTTCAGGCTTCCCCAACATGGCAAGTGTTCTAGGAACCCATCTGTATCGGTGTACCAGCTGGTGGTGTTGTAAGAGGCTGCTTTGTCGTCAGTGAATTTTTTTTGAAGACTGTTTCAGCGTTTTTGTCCATTTCTTCATGGGTGATTTTCTAGTGCACCTGCCCACCTGTGCTGAGTGTTCAGCAGCTTTTGACCAAAACCAGCATTGACCCTTGTGCCCCATCCTCCCTATTCATCTGATCTCGCTCTGAGTGACTTTCTTTTGTTTCCCTGATGAAAAAAGTCCTCAAAGGGAAATGTTTTGCTGATGTGGAAGAGGTGAAACAAAAAACAGCAGAAGCACTCGAAAAGGCATCAAAATCAACAAGTTCACAAACTGTTTTGAGCAGTGGAAAAAAATCTTGATAGGTGTATTATATCAAATGGAGAGTACTTTGAAGGTGACTAGTTTAAACATGTAATAAAGACACAATTTTTTATAAATAAATTCCAGGTTGTTTTTTTTTTGTTTGTTCCACCCTACTCCTCCTGGAGTGGAAAAGGTTGGTCACTGCAAATGCAAGTCAGCCAGCTGTGTTTGCTGTTGGCAATGATCAGAGTTTGATTCTATCCTCCCACAGAGACTGGGAGCCAGGTCCTTTCCTTCCTAATGATTGCATTTCGAAGGAATGGCTCTGAGACATTTCTGAGTTGCAAGCGATACATACTTAGCATCGTAAGCCCTTTTTCGTGCATGCACTAAGAAAGTAGGGTCAGGAGTCTATGGTCAGATTTTCCTAGAATTAATAGTGAAATGTCCTGGCAGCATTTTGAGTTTTCTCAGGTGGACATTTTAATGAGTAGCTGGGGTCATTCTAGGGACTTGGCTTTATGCTGCTGTAAACGATGCTAGAGTTTAGTCAGATTTTTTAGTCCAGGGTTTGGATGGAGTTATGTACCAAACAGGCAGTATTCCTATTTTATTGGTGAAGAAACCTAAGCACAGAAATAAATAATTAACTCACACTGGATTAGCTTAAGTGGTAGAGCTGAGATTTGAACTTTGAACTTGAACCCCTAAACATACTTACACTGTCTTATAGCACTGCAGAAGGCTCTGCGGAAACAAACAAAAACAATACAATTTAATCCCTGTTTTCAAGGAACTCATAGCCTGGTAGAAGGGGACATACATTAGTTCACAGGCTGGTACTCAGTCCATTGAGCCACACCAGTCAGGGCCATGGACATACATTAGAAAGAAACATTATAATTAGTGCAATGTTAAAAATATCCCTATAGCTACTACCTCCTTCCCATCTAATGATGTCTCCTACAACTTTCTAACCTCTTGAGATAGATGTTAAAAAAGAGAGATACCCCTCTCCTTTTAACACTCTCTAGCTTAAGAAATACCTAGGATGACTTTATGTGTCTCTTTCATATCACATTCCTCTCTTTCCTCCCAGAAAAACTTCTCTCCTGAACTTTGTGATTATCATTTCCTCGCTTGTCTTTGCATTTTGCTATATATATTTCTAAACACTCTATGCTTTACTTTGGGGTTTTGAACTTTATGTAAATGAAATTAAAAAAAATAAAAATAAAAAAAATAAAAATAAATGAAATTATACTGTATATTCTTCTGGGAATTTTTGTTTTGTTTCTTTTTTTTCTTTCCTAACATTATGTTTGTAGAATTTGCCTGTGGCACATTTTACCTAGAACTTTATAAGTAAAGGAATATGTCACTTATGGTAAAATAGCTCAATTAATAGAGCTGGAGCATTGGAAAGTTTTGTAGAACCCTAAGAGATGCTGTTAGATGTTTTCACATCTTTGTTACCTAAGTATTTCTTTATCATCCATGCATCTGTTTTCATTTCTTTTGGTTGGTAAAAGGTAACGTAAGCATTTAAAAAAATTGTCATGTAGAAATATTTATGAACTATAGAGTATATGAATAGCATCAATGTAACTGCCCCTTCAGGACTCTTAAGGTTGACATTTTGTGCTTTTTTTCCCCCCAGTATTGCCATGGATAGCAACCATCAAAGAAATTGCAAACTCAACAAAACTGAGAAGAAGTTCTTAAGGAAACAGAGTAAAGCCAGGCATACTTTGCTGAGACATGAAGGTGTTGAAACAGTATCCTGTGCCACTCAGGTGACCTACAACTATTCTTACCATTTGAATGTAAATGTATTGCCATGTTAATGTGTTAGAGGGATATTTATTAATAATTGCTCAGAGAAGAAGGCTGTAGTTGTTTGGTCATGTATTACGTCTTTATTAAATATACACGTTAGGACCTGCTAACTTTTTATTTTTGGACAAAGCCTTAGCGTATTTGGAATTTCCATAGATTATGTTGGTTGATTGAGAGGAAGTTGTGGTATGTCTGAATTGTACCACTGTTTACAGTTTATAAAATGTACTCGCATCCCTTATTATATTTAATTTCCTAAAAATCCCTATGAGATAGATGAGAAAACTAAGGTTTTGGGGGTTGTGATATGTCCATTGATATTAGGTGGCTGAAACCTAAAGCTAGATCGTTATAGTCTTCTCCCTTTTCTTCTTCATCTGTAGTATAACGTGTTTTGACTATATGCAAAAAAACACTTTTTATGTATTAAATTTTTATTTACAAAGCCTTTTCATGGCAATAATTACATATTGTGGGACTGAGACTTCCTGGGCCATGAATGAGAAAAACTTACTTTGATTCTTAGATCTCCTACTTATTTGGACATGAGCAGCATCTTTTAACCTCAGCTTTCTTAATTCGAAAGGACAGAGTTTTGCATATTTTTTATCCCATTGGATTGTTAGATTCTAAGAGAACATGTACATGATAGTACTTACTACCATGTGAATATCAAGTATTCTTTTTTTTTAAGGATTTTATTCATTTATCTTTAGAGGGGAAAGGAAGGAGAGAAGGAGAGAAATACCAATGTGTGGTTGCCTCTCATGTGTCCCCTGCTGGGAACTGGCCTGCAGCCCAGGCATGTGCCCTGACTGGGAATTGAACTGCAATCCCTTAGTTTGCAGGCCCGTGCTCAATCCACTGAGCTACATCAGCCAGGGAAAATATATCAAGTATTCTTAATATGTAGGATAAGAGTAGGAAGGAAGCTTAGCCATCGTTTAATTGAGGATCAAAGACAACAACTGAGAAGGTGAAGCTGGGCTTAAAATTTAGGTCTCTTGTCTCTTAGACCAGTACTGGTGCTTTTCCCTTGTATCATGTGTGTGCTGTCTTCTGTGCTGCGTCACAGTTTAGGAGTGAGTACTCTGTTGAAGAAGGTTGAAATTTAGCAGGTAAAAGGTCCTTACTTAAATTTTGTTATGTACGAAGGATTTCAGAGAATTTAAACCAAACACATTGAAAAGGGGTGGGGTAGACAAGAGATTAGGGTTAATATGTCTGCAAACATTTTCTTCCAAGAGCCACTGAAGCTGTGTGGTATTCAGAAAACTATACTGACATACCCTATACTCATTTCTTCCCAAGTGTAACATGCTTTCTCTTCCCAACGTGGGTCATGAAGGGAAGTGGTAAGAAAAATGCGCTCAGGGTCCTTGCTGCCACTGAAGCTTTGTTTTTAGTTGGGCTGGTCTTTTCTCTTGTATCTCTAGAAGCTTTCTTCTTACCTATGTGGCTTCCAAAGTGTCATCTTATGTAGGCTTGATATTTTTCTCTACAATATTTTTAAGGGAAAAGAATACAATTATAGAAGGACCTCTAATTATATGTTGTCTATCCACGGGAGAACAAATGCTGTTTTCACCATGTGTTACAAATGTAGGGGCTTTTGTGTAAATTTATGGACATTGTGAGAATTTTCTAGAGCATTGATCTTCAAATTGTCAGGACTGAAGATAACTTTTAAAACATTTCTGGATTTTCTTCTTTATATTTTTGGGAAAATTGCTTGGCCGAAAATTATAAATAAAACAATTATCACATTTAATTACATTGTATAACTCATACATAATAGGAAACACTGAACTTTTAATTTTTGTCGTTTGCCCTTAGAATTGCCTGCATATCACTTAGATAGCATCTTTGAGTGCTGCTAGTATTCTCCAAGTCACACCACATCATCCTCCTCAGTTCCTCAGTGGACACTTGCCAAAACGTCTGGCAGTTACAAAACATTTGCAGTTTCTTAGATTTGGGAATATGAAAATGTTTTTGTAATTATGGATATATATAACCAAAATATTTTGGTATTTTAATTTATGAACCTCACTGAATGAGGTCCAGGACAAGCCATCTGAGGCTAAATTTTACACTGCATTTTATAGTTTTGTATCAGTGTTTGTTTATTATGGTACATGTATACTTGCTTATATAAAGTATTGGTTGTCCCAAAAAAGAATAGCACTTTACTTTTCTTGTTATCCAATTTTATAACAATTGTGTTACATACTTTTAAAACAAGGTTCTAGATATTCCCATTTTGTATATAATAAAACTAGTGCATTATGTTCTAATCTCCAATTTAGTATAAATCAGCTAACTACTATCCTCAGGTCAAATCTGGCTTGTGAGATAAGAGTGAGTTTGATATTTTTAAAAAAGATTTTATGTATTGCTCTGGCTGGTGTAGCTCAGTGGATTGAGTGCAGGCCTATAAACCAAAGGGTCACCAGTTCGATTCCCAGTCCAGGGCACATGCCTGGGTTGTGGGCCAGGTACCCAGTAGGGAGCATGTGAGAGGCAACTACACTTTGATGTGTCTTTCCCTCTCTTTCTTCTTTTCTACCCCTCTCTCTAAAAATAAATTTAAAAAAAAGATTTAACTTATTTTTAGAGAGAGGGGAAGGGAGGGAGAAGGTGAGAGAGAGAAACATCGATGTGAGAGAGAAACCTCAATCAG